TAAATAAATAAATAAAATCAAAAAAAAAAAAAAAAAACATTATAAGTATATATGCACCCAAAGTAGGAGCACCCAACTCAAGTTTTAAGAGACATGAAAAATCTAATGAGCAATAGCATAATTGCTTGGGGGGACAACTTTAACTCCCCACTGATACAAAGAGATAAATCAACCATGCAAAAAATGAGCAAAGAAATAACAAAATTCAATCACATTTTCTCCATCCGTTTGTGGCAATTTAATCCAAGTCCAAGATTTAGCTATTGTGCTGGATGTAGTGATGCACATCAGGAATGCCAGCACTTGGGAGGCTGAGGCAAAAGGATTGACATCAGTTCAAGGCCAGTATGGGCTGCATAGTGAGTTCAAGGTCAGCCTGAACTGCATAGTGAAACCCTGCGAAGTAAAAAAAAAAAAGTTATAGCTATTATGAATGGTGCTGCTATAAATATGAATATGCATGTATCATTATAATACGATGTCTTCAGTTCTTTCAGAAAGATAGCTAGGGAGGGGAGTAGCTGGGTCAGATGGACTTTCTATTTTTAGCTTTTTGTAGACTCCATATTGGTTACCATAACAATTATACTAGCTTATATTCCCAGTAACAACAAAGGATGCTTTTCCCACACAGACTCATTAACATCTGGTTACCTGAGTTCTTCATGGGAGCTACTCTTTCTGGTATAAAATGCGATGCTGTTTTAATTTTTATTCTCTGATGATCAGAGATGTTGAACATTTTTTCATGTATTGATTAGCCATTTGTACTTTCTGAGAAACACCTGATCATTTCAGTTGCCCCTTTTATCACTTGGGAAGGTCTAATTTTTTTAGGTCTTTATATATTCTAGATCTAACTCCTCTGTCCACGGAATAGATGGCAAATTTTTTCCCATTGTGTAAGTTGTCTCTTCCAATTGTATCACTCACTTCCTTTGCAATGCAAAACTTTTTTCATTTGACGAGATCCCATTGCTAATTCTTATTACTTAGTCCATATCTTCAAGAGTTTTACCTATTTTATCTTCAAGATCATTTCTGTTTCAGTATTTAGATTTTTTTGTCTCTCATTTACTTTTTTTAATTTTGTTTGTCTGTTTATTTTTGTGTGGCCGGCTCAGCCTGCCCTAGGTGCTGGGCTGACATGGCATGTGGTGCCAGGGATTGACCCGTGGTTCCTGTGCATTTGCCTAAGCTTGCCTAAGGAGGCACTTTAGACCACTGAGCTATCTCACTGGCCCTCTCATTTACTTTTATTACCTCTTTTTTTCACAAACATTTACTTTAAAGAGAGCACAGCAATAACTGATTTGACATTAGAAGCATATACATTTAGAAGACCAAAATGACAGGTATTTTAAGCATGGTTTTAGTATTACACATTACTGCCCACAGTGCAGTTGCTTAGTTCACAGATATCTAATGAGAATTCTACCCATTAAGTGCTATTGTCAAAAACCTGAAGAAAATTCTTATTTCCTTAACCATCTTATTTATATAAATGGTTTTGCCCCTACCATATTCCCTAAGTTTTCTCCTTTCTCTCTCTCTCTTCTTTGTTTAATCCTTCTCTCCATTTAATTGTGTTATACCTTTCAATTTTTATTTCTTCTTTTGAGTTCTTACACTTGGGAGTATTTAGATTTTTGATCCATTTTTATTTTAGTTTAGTGTACAATGAAAGATTTGGATTGAGTCCATCTTTAGCATATGGATAGCCAGGTTTAACAGCACTATTTGTTAAAAAGACTATCATTCCTCCAGTGTAAGTTTTTGGCTCCTTTGTCAACATGCTTGGAGTCTGCACCTTCTATTCTGTACCACTAATCCATACATCTGAGTTTTATTGCCAATGTCTAATGTTTTTATCATTGTAGTTTCATAGTATAACTTTGAATCTGGAGTTGTGATTCCTTCTGTCTTGCTCTTGTTGCCCGGGATCGCTATTCAAGTTCTCATCTGGTTCCATATGAATTTTAGGATTGTTCTCTCTAATGTTATGATGAATGCTTTTGGTATTTTGATTGGGATTACATTAAATATGTATTATCAGTTTTGGAAGTGTGGCCATCTTGACTACATTAGTTCTATTTATCCAAGAACAGGGGATATCTTTCCATTTTCTGATATTCTCTTCAACCACCTTTTTCAGAGTACCATTATAGAGTGAGTGACATTGGGATTGATTCATGGTGAAATGTTAGGACCAAGGGCACTAAGATGAGTACTACCCACCCTAAGTAGCTAGGATAAGATATAAGGGACAGAAAGAGCTGTGGTCATCCTTTGTTGCTTTGTTATCTTCTGGTAACCATGAACTGTTTTCTCTGCTATCATGCCTGTCTGCTATGCCACCCTGCCTTGGAACCAGCCCATTATGGGCTGAAGCCTCTACAAACTATGAGCTAAATAAACCTTTCTCCCTTTAATTTTGAGTGTCAGATATTTTGTTTCAGCATCAAGAACAATAACTAAGGGCCCGGGAGATGGCTCAGTAGGATAAGCACTTCCCTGGCAAGTGCAAGGGTCTGAGTTCAATCCCAAGTTCTGCCAAAAAAAAAGAAAGAAAAATAACTAAGGCAGCATAAGAGAATTCTCGAATAGGAGACTCAAATAGCCAAGAAAATAATATCAAGAATCAACAATTACACTTCAAATTAAAACTTGTGCAAAGCAAGGGAAAACAATTAACAGAGTGAAAGGACAGCCTACATTAAGGGAGAATATCTTTTCCAGGTACAATTCCAACAGAAGATTAATATCTAGGATATATAAAGAATTCAACATGGGTATGGCTTGTAATTCCAGCACTTGGGAGGTTGAGAGATGTTTGCCAAAAATTTGAGACCAACCTAGGATACATAAGGTCAGCCTGAACTACACAAAGAGACTGTCTCGAAAAGGAAAAAGAATTCAAAAAATACCAAAATTTGGATAGCCCAATAAATGGGCAAATGAAATGCACTCTCAAAAGAAGTACAAAAGATTAATTAGTACTTGCATATAAAAAAAAAGTTCCACATCTTTAGCCATTAGAGAAATACAAAGCAAAATTACACTGAGATTCCATCTTGACCCAGTCAGAATGGCTATTAAAAATACAAAGAAAATAAAAAATAAATGCTAAATAAAATGCCAGGTGGGGGGGGAGAAACCCTCCACACTGCTGAGTAAATTAGCACAGCCACTATGAAAACCAGTATGAAAATTCCTCAAAAAACTAAAAGTAAAGCCACCATTTCATCCAACTATACTACTCCTTGGTATACACATGAAGAAATTAAAATTAGGATACTGTAAGAATTTCTGCACACCAATGTTTATTGTAGAGCAGTTCACTATAGCCAAGATACAGAACCAGCCTCAGTGCCCACTAACAGGTGAATGAAGAAAATGTGGTGCATATGCACAATTGGGTATTATTCATTCATAGACAAGAATGAAATTTTGCCATTTGCCAAAAACATAAACTGGAGATTGTTCTGTTGAACAAACAAACCAGACACAAAAAGCTAAATATTTCATGCTCTTCTTAATATACGGAATCTAAAAAGAATGACATGATGACAGAAAAAACAGACTATTATTAGACATGAGAAAAACAGTAAATGATAAGGTTTAAGAGCAGGAAAATAGGGGAGATAGAGATGATCAAAATATATACACTGAAACTCAATATTCTAAAAAATAGGTACTTATAATAACAGAAAGAAAACAAAAGCAAGCAAAAAATAGAACTACTTTAATAGGCCAGCTATAGAAAACTGAAGGTGTAGGAGGTGAGGATAAAGTGTCTTAAAAATACACTTGTTATGGATTCAACCCATACTGGAACCTGTTTGATAAAAGAAAACACACTCTACTGTACTGTAATAATACCACAGCCACCCCATAGCTACAGGTAATACAGGGCCAGCTGTATTCTCTTCAGATACATCAAATACAGCATATTTGGGCTGGTGAGATGGCTCAGTGGTCTAAAGCATCTACTTAGAACAAGCTAAGCAAAAGCACAGGGACCACGGTTCAATCCCCAGCACCACATGCCAGCCAGCCTCGCCCCCTGGTGGGCTGAACTGGCCACACACACACACAAAATAAATAAATTAAATAAATAAATAAATAGTAAATAAAAATTAAAAAAAAAATACAGCATATTTCCTGACCATAGAAAGACACTAAGAATTAATGGTGGAGAGATATCTCAGCAGCATAAGCACCTTCCTGGCAAGTGCAAGGTCCTGAGTTCAATCCCTAGTACTCAAAAAAAAAAAAGTCATTATGTCATTGTTGGCAGTCTAGTTTTTACTATCTAAATCTTGTTCCTTATGATTGAATTTATGTTCATCATGTTCTACTAAATGCTAATAAAGACCAAAAAACTTTTTAACTTAAGCTTTTTCATAAGGAAATCTAATAATGAAATAGTGAAAGCAAAATATTATGAACCTGAACTCATGAACCAGACGTTAGATAACCAACTAAAATGGATGGAATTCTTCACCTACTAAACACTACCTATCTTTTGATATCACTCTGAACTCTGCCTTTGATAAAGCTTAAGATAGTTCTTCAATCATTTATCAAGTTCCTAGGTAGCTTATTAAAAACAATTTAAATCTTTAAATACAAAATCTAGGGGCTGGAGAGATGGCTCAGTGGTCTAAAGCACCTACTTAGAACAAGCTTAGCAAAAGCATCAGGGACCGCGGTTCAATCCCCCAGCAC